TTAGAATAGAATGCAAAAATGATCAGAATGGAATAGAATATGGAATAGGATATAAACATAATTAGAATAGAAAAATAATTGGATTGAATAAAATATGGAATAGAAAAATAATTAGAATAGAATAGAAAAATAGTTAAATAGAGAAATAATTAGAATAGAATAGAAAAATGATTGGAATAGAATAGAAAAATAGTTAAATAGAGAAATAATTAGAATAGAAAAATGATTGGAATAGAATAGAAAAATAATTAGAATAGAAAAATAATCTGAATGGAATAGAATATGAAATAGAATAGAAAAATAATTGGAATAGAAAAATAATCTGAATGGGATAGAATATGGAATAGAATAGAAACATAATTAGAATGGATTGGAATAGAATAGAAAAATAATTGGAATGGAATAGAATAACTGTATTGTCACTGAATGTACACTAATCGGCATGAAATGAAATTTCGTTGCCTACAGCTATGAAAGTTGGTGTCAACATGCTGGAAAGGTTGCTATGCTGGCAAAACATTTGAAGCCTCCTTTCTGTCAGAAGATGGGCCACATTTTTAACTTGGACTCTTAAAGCCCTGAATGTAGTAAGGCCTCAAAATATTCTTTTCTGTAGGGGTTTGTAAATCCAGCTTAGTGAAGGCATTGATGTGGCATCCTTTCACAGCCTTTGTCGGAGGAATTGGTAATTAACTACTGTTTGGTATATTGCTTGGACTTGTTGAAAAGGAAGTTACCCTGTTGGTTTGTGTGAGTAAAGCAAAGATGAGAATGGTGCTGGCTTCAGATACCTTTAAATGTTGGGGTGCAGTGGCTTCCCTGAAAGCGAAGAGTTTCTTTTTCTAAATTTTAGTTTGAAAGAGTGAGGCAGTTGTAATAAAGTACTATATGGGTCTTTACCCAGGCCTTTGGGGAGGGAAGTAAGACCCTCTTTAATTATTAGGTTTACTACCTTTTCTACACACATATACCCACTGAATTTTGTTACAAGGTTCTTGGATTATTGGGAGTCATCCAGGGTTGCTGAGAACCTGTCAGCATGCAACTTTCATAAATTATTGGCTGTTCACAACAATGTGAAATCACAGCTGCCAGTTCTTTAGTGTTGGCCTTCATAAACATTGACTTCTTCCCAACAACTTAGTATGTCATAATGTATCAGTGTAGTAGATGTGTGGTCTTTTGTAATTGATAGGTGGAAATTTTTCCTCCCCCCCCACCCCCAAGAGAATTCCAATTCACTGTAAAATACCGTGTTTCTCATATAATAAGGCTGGGTCTTATTTTTTTTTTAGCCCCGAAAAAATGGCTAGGCCGTCTTTTTGGGGGTGACTTAATTTCCCCTCTTGCATCTTCGGGCGGGCACATGGCGCCGGCTTGGATGTTGACCTCGGCATTGGTGGGGCACTTTGTATCGGGGTCAACGCAGGCAGCACCATATCTGTATGTGCAACAAAAGTACTTCCTAATGGCAAGCCCCCCACCATTTTGCATGTTTTAATATAGGCCTTAATTTGGGGGGAGGGGCTTAATTTCATTTCATGCCTATAAAACATGCTGGGACTTCCTATTGGGGGAGGCCGTATTGTTGGAGAAACAGGGTAGTTTGGAAGTAACCAGCATAAATAGCATCTACCATCTTTAATACACACCAAGACAAATTCCTTGTGTGTCCAATCACACTTGGCCAATAAAAAATTCTATTCTAGTCTAACCCTGTGGTATTCAAACTCTTCCCTGTGGCTCTGTAAAAATTATCCAGAGATTTTAACTTGACAGTTTTCTGTGCATGTTGTATGAAATGTATTATAACCTTAATTGTAACATTTTGCTCAAGTAAAATATATTACCGTATATACTCGAGTATAAGTTGACCCGAATATAAGCCGAGGCACCCAATTTTACACAAAAAACTGGGAAAACTTATTGACTCGAGTATAAGCCGAGGGTGGGAAATGCAGCAGCTACTGGTAAATTTCAAAAATAAAAATAATTAATTTGGGAAACGATCTCACTATCATGAAAGGTTTAATTGATTCACTAACCCAAAAGAAGAAGATGATGATGACAGCGGGAGGCAGGAGTCACTCTCTTCCCCTCCCTCGGAGGCCCCCTGAGTCAGGAGTCACTACCGCCGGCGCGGCCCCAGTCCCGCCGCCTCGGGAAGGGAAAGGCAAAGCGCTTTTTGCCTTTCCCTTCCTGGCTGGGGCTGTTGGGAGTCGCTGCCGCCGGAGGCCGCGACTCCACACCATTTTTTTTTCAGAGGGGAATCTGACTCTATAAGCCGAGGGGGATTTTTTCAGCACAAAAAATGGGCTGAAAAACTAGGCTTATACTCGAGTATATACAGTACATGAAATACACTGTTTCCACACTGATTTTTCACATTGAGAAGCGCTCCTCTGGTGTCTCAAATGTGAGAACTTCCACCATAATCCGTAGAGGAGACACTTTGCTTTTTATGTATGACTTTTACACGTTCTTGTAAACAAGGGAACAAATGAAAATGGCTCAGACATAAATATCGGTACCACTTCAGCAATTAACTGACATTAGGAATGTTAGTGATCTTCCAAGCAGAATAGTACTGCAACTGTCTTGAACCTCATTAATCACTCAGCCTGTTGGAATGGAGAAAAGTACTCATTTTTTTTCATCGTCTGTAGCATAGTGAATATGGAAAAAAGAAAGAAAATCAGAGTATTGTCTGAGGAGGAAAGGAAGAAGGTAATAGTCAAGCATGGTGATAGTAAAGGCTACAAGGAGAGGTGGTATTGGTGCATTAAATGAGCAGGTGGCATGGAGGGGTGCTTTCTGAGGCTCTCGTATCCTACATGTCAGCTGCAAGCAACCACATCCGCCAGTGCATAGTCTAACAAGCTTAGCTTGTTCTGCTAAGGAAAGGGGTTCTGTTCTGTTAAGGAGAAGAACCCCTTCAGTGAAAGAAGACCAGCTTTTGTCTGGGCTATCAGACTCCTGAATACAATATAACATCAGAGCTAAGCAGTGTGATAGACTCGCAGGGCCAGTGCTAAATGCAACCTGTTCACATTGGTGCAATATAATGTAACATTACACACATACACATCTGGAGGGTTGTGTGTCTTGTTATGATTTACCGGGTTAGGGATTTTCTTTGAGTTATTGAGCCATATGTGTCGGGAGGGTGCACCAAGGGAGGATCAGCCAATCTCATTGTACACAGGTTGTACATCTATATATATATATATATAAAACAGAAAGACCCCCCCAGGCATCATCACAAAATCTCCAGAACCGTAAAGCCTACAAACTTGAAATTTGGCACGTATATTCCTCTTGGCTTCTAGGGGCTCACTAAGAAAGGATTTTTTGAAATGACCATCAGAACTATTAGTATTTCCTATACTACTAGTACTACTACTACTACTACTATTACTATTATTATTATTATTATTATTATTATTATTATTATTATTATTATTATTATTACGCTCTGATGCTAAGGAGTTCTACTCCCCCTCCCCACCTGCAAAGAAATCTCTTCCAAATGCAAAACACAAGCAGAGGAGTTTCAGTTTTAGTTTCACAGCACCAAGCAGCTTTAGTACAGAACAGTTGAGCTAGGCCACACCCAGACTCCTTGCTATCCTTGCTCACACAGCAAATACTGTTTCAGTTTCCAAACAGCCCTCCACTCTCGCACATTGACAGGACGCTCGCCAAATGAATACCGATGGATGCTGGTAGGCAGAGGCAGAATTCCTCCCCTTATTTTCCTCCCAAAAACTAAGCCCGACCACATAGTTTCCTAGCGAAGCACATAGAGCTATAGCTGTGAAAAAGTCTTGCATAGCAGACAACAGTATTCCAAATGGACCAACAAACAGTGGGCCAAGGTCATCTTCAGTGATGAGCAATTTCTACTTGACTGGGAATCAGTGCAATAAGTATGTCAGAGGATTTCCAGCTGAAGAATTTAGACCGTACTGCCTGAATCTATCTGGGAAGCATCCATTGCACGTGATGATCTGGGGCTATATCGCTGCTTCTGGTATTGGTCGGATACAAATTGTGCAGGGAATCATGAATTCCAAGCGGAGTCCTGGAAAAGACCATGCTTCCTTCAGCTCAGCAACTTGTAGAGAAGGACTTTTACTTCCAGGATGACAATGCTCCTTGTCATCGAGCCAAGTCCGTCCAGCAGTGGATGAAGAAGCATGGTGTTTGACTCCTGGATTGGCCAACCCCAAACCCAGATTTGACTCCAATTGAGAACTTGTGGGACAAGATTGGTTACGAAATAAGCAAGAAGCATCCGAAGATCCACGTGCAAAGGCTTATACACTTATGCCGAAGCTATGCCTTCTGGGGATAAGCAATAAGGGCTGGCCAATTTCATATTAGTAACCATGTTTGCTTACCTAAATGGCCCCTTTCAGGGCCACAAACAATAAAAATGTTAACAAAACACTAGCATCGGCCTTAGAAATTGCAACAGGTATGCCACTGGGTATGCATCAGTTAATCTGTTTTCATAGTCATTGTAAGCATGCACTGTCAGCATGCAAGAAAATTCACAATCCCCATCGAAACAGCACGAAATTGCAAAAAGCTTATGCTTTTCACTTAAAAACCACCAGTATTTATTTAAATATAACTATTTGCATAGCAGTTAGCATAAAATATCATAAAACCAATGCCCTATCCAAAAAATGTCATAAACCACAAACACTAAAGCTTGCAGGACTTTTTCACACAGCTGTAGTTGACAATAAAGGGTTGAAATTGCAAATTTGAACATTTGAATGGACCTAGAGAGAAGAGGAAGGAGGGCAGAAGGAGAGGGGGCAAAAAGTCATGCCAGCTGCCCCAAAAGCAGGCCGGAACCTTCGCGCGGGGGTGCAGATCCCCCTCACCGGACGCTTCTTGGGGACGGACCCGGCCCGCTTTTCTTTGTTTCCCCCCTCCCTTTCACTCTCTTTTCTACCGCGCGCGGCGCTTCCGGTGACGGCGTCGGCTTCCTTCCGGCCGCCATTTTATCTGCTTGCTCGCTCGCTCGCTCGCTCTCCGGCTGGCAGGGTCGGCGTCCCCCGCCGCCATGTCCAAGCGCCACCGACTTGACCTCGGCGACGACTACGGCTCTAGCAAGAAGCGCGCCGCCTCCGACGGGTGAGGGGAGGTCGGAGGGGGGAAGGGGGGAGGGAGACCGAGCGTCCTCCCCTTCTGGCGCGTGACCGTGTTTGTGTGTGTAAGGGGGGGGGGCAATCAGCGTCAGGGCCTACGGAGGGAGGGAGGGGCTCCCAACGCGCCTTTGAGGCCCTCCCGAGGAGGAAGAGGAGGAGGAGGAGGAACAGGAGGAAGAGGAGGGGGGCGGGAGCGGGGACAGCCTTCTGGGCAAGGCCGGGCTGGCGGCCATTCCCGGGCCGCGCACGTGCTCGCCCGCCGGGATCTCGGGCCTTTGGAGGCTCTTTTGGGTTGAGAGGTCTTCTATCGGTCCCCATGGGGCAAGCCCGTGGTGTCGATCATGATGCCCCTATGATGCCTTTAAGGTGCCTTTATATAGTGTCTTTTTAATGCCTTTAAAGTGCCTTTATAGTGTCTTTTTATTTCCTTTATAGTGTATTTATACGGTGTCTTTTTAATGCCTTTATATAGTGTCTTTTTAATGCCTTTATATAGTGTCTTTTTAATGCCTTTATATAGTGTCTTTTTAATGCCTTTAAAGTCCCTTTATAGTGCCTTTTTATTTCCTTTATAGTGTATTTATACGGTGTCTTTTTAATGCCTTTATAGTGTTTTTATAATGTCTTTATATAGTGGCTTTTTAATGCCTTTACGGTGCCTTTATATAGTGGCTTTTTAATATCTTTATATAATGTCTTTTTATTTCCTTTATGCTGTCTTTATATGGTGGCTTTTTAATGCCTTTATAGTGTCTTTAGTGTTTTTAATGCCTTTATAATGTCTTCATGATGTCCTTGTAATGTCTTTATAATGCCCTTATAATAGCACTTACATATATACTGCTTCATAATGCTTTACAGCACTGTGAAGCAGTATGTAAGTCTAAGTGCTATTGCTTTACAGCAGGAAAGGAGGAAAGGTAGGAAGGGGGAGCGTGGAAATTGAAATGATAGGGTAGGGAGAGAGGAGGAAATGAATAGGAAAGAAGGAGAAGGAAGGAAAATAGCAATAGCATTTAGACATATATATCGCTTCACGCTGCTTTATAGCACTTTCTAGGCTGTTTACAGAGTCACCCTCTTGCCCCCAACAATCTGGCTCATCATTTTACCGACCTCAGAAGGGATGGAAGGCTGAGTCAATTTTGAGCTGGTCAAGAATGAACTGCTGGCAGTAGGCAGAGTTAGCCTGCAGTGCTGCATTCTGACCACTGGGAAGGAAGGAAGGACTAGCAATAGCTTATATGCCACTTCACAGTGCCTAAGCTTTACTCCCTAAGCAGTTTACAGTGAGCTAATTGCCCCCAACAGTCTGGGTTTTTTTTTAACTGATCTCTGAAGGCTTGAGTCAACATTGGGCTGGTCAGGATCGAATTGCTGGCAGTGGGCAGTGAGTTAGACTGCAATGCTGCTTTCTAACCATTGCATTACCAGGGCTCTTGCATACTTATAAAGTTTTGGTCTGCCAGAGATACAGAAATTCACGGTCCACAGCATGGTCTGACTTGTTAAGACCAGCCTTGGAATATTGCATCCAGATTTGGTCTCAGCATATTATACCAAAAATGTTGAGACTCTGGAAAGAGTGCAGAGAAGAGTAGCAAGGAAGATCATTGGGCTAGAGGCTAAAACATACGAAGAATGGTTGCAGGAATTGGGTATGGCCAGTCTAGAGAAAAGAAGGACTAGGGGTGACATACAGTATTTCAGGGGCTGTCATGAAGAAGAGGGGGGGGTCAAGCTATTCTCCAAAGCACCTGAAGGCAGGACAAGAAGCAACAGATGGAAACTAGTCAAGAAGAGAAGCAACCTGGAACTAAGGATAAATTTCCTGACAGAACAATTAATCAGTGGAAGGACTTGCCTCCAGAAATTGTGAATGCTCCAACACTGGATGTTTTTAAAGATTGGGCAACCATTTGAAATGGTATAGAGCAAGGGGTTGGACTAGAAGACCTCCTAGGCCCCTTCCAATTCTGTTATTCTGTTAAGTTTTTAAAAACATTGTTTTGTGTAGGGGGTTTGTAGACCAAGACAGGGGGAGAAAGTAATTTTTTAAAAAAACAACAACCCTATAATACCACTTATGGAAATCATTGCCACCAGACAAAATAACTTCAAATGAAAAAGTTGGAAAGGTGAAGACAGTGGCTGCAGTGGCTGCAAATAAGGTCCATAGTTTGTGTTTGTTTATGCTGCCCATCCCACCACAATGCCACTCTATAGTTTACACAGTTAATGGTAAACATGACTTGAGAAAGATTGTTCAAAATGAAAAGCCAATCAACCTTAAGTGGGGGAAATGTTCACTTTGCATAGCCAGGTTTGTATCAGGTACAAATTTGTAGGCCTTGGTTTATAGTAGTAGTTAATAATTTATTAAACTCATATGCTGCTTAACTCTTGTTGTCTCTGAGTGGTTCCCAACAATAGAAGCTTTCAATAAAATGAGATGAAAGATGGCAGGTGATGAAGCCACCCAAGGCCAGGGTTGAAGAGCCAAATAATACCCCAAAGGTGCTTTTTCCAAAAGGCAACTGGACTTTGATTTTTGTTTCAAAACATTCCACTTCTCATTCAAGAAGTTTCAATTGGAAAGAAAAAAAAAATACATTTTCAAAGGGGGAAAACAAAGTCCAGTTGCCTTTTGGAAAAAGCATCCTTGGGATAACCGTGACCTGGATGATTGAGAAACTCCACAGACATTTATCCAAATGGTACATTACCACAACTCCAATTTGGTGATACAATAAGACAGGGGTCTTTAAACTTGCCAAGTTTGAAGACCCTTGCGATAAGATAACATTAAATTTGGTCAAACTTACTTTTGAAAATGTCCAGATAGTCCTGTTCCACAAGTTAACTGTATAACTCGGGCCCATTTAACCACTTGTAAGTCAGGTTTCCGAACTTTATTTTGTGTTTCCATGGAAGTTGTGTTGCAGGGAGTTTTGTGTTTCAACACATTTCCACTTGCAGAGCTAGTTAAATTTCAGATCCACAAAAAAGATTAGTTGATGAGGAGCAGCAAGAGAAATTTCTGGCATCCCTGATAACTTGTCTTCAGCTTTTATTCTTTCATACAATTGCAAAGAAAAGCGTAAATAATTTGCAATATTGACAATATTGTCAGCAGGATTTGTTTTGTTATTTTAGGGCCAATTTTCTAACTATTGGAATTCCCCAATGTTTTTTTTTAAATGGTGAATAAAAAAGTTGGTACTTGGTTAAAACTTTAGTACTTTCCAAGGATAATGGCATCCTGTGCCAAAACAGCTTTTGTTCTTGTATCAGTTGTTATAATTTTGGTCTTAATTGGATTTAATTTTTTATTCTTACTACTTTTTATTTGTTTTGCCTTTTGCATTCTTAAAAGTTGATTTTTGTTAAGATGGATGTATCTTTTCCCAGTGCACCTTTTAAAAAGGTATTCATCCAAAAACTCAGCTGAGGAAAGTTAATGAATGTGATGCCCTATCACTCTTAGTTTATTCTTTGGTTAGTGATTAGTATAATATGCAGGTTTAATAGGAACCCTGGCCTCATAAAAATATTGTAGATAAAAGAGAATCTGGGCAGGTTAATATTTTCTTCTTTATATGGTCCTTGTGTTTTTTTCCAGTTACAAATTTCAAAAGCTGCTTGCTTTGAATTCTATTGTGGCAGTCAATACAGACTTTTTGTGGTCATTTAATGATTTTAAAAATTAAGCCACTGAGGCGTGAGCAACCCCATCCCCTACTCCCAATATAACAATTACAACCTGCATTTTAATTAAGGCAGAATATTACTCCCTTTCTGAAATTAGAGGAAACACTTGTGGATTGACTTTCCCCTTGGATTAACTTTTTTGTGTGTGTAGAAGAAAAGCTCCCTGCTCCAGAATCAAAAGATGAAGCAACACATTTTGTAATTTCTATTAAGGGCCCTTGGTTATTATGCAGTCTGTTGATATTTGATCCTGGTGACTAGGATGCCGGCTTGTGTAGCAGTTGGTATCAGGATATTTAAAGTCGTGGGTTCTGGGAATCAAACACTCTGAACCTTCTGGTCTGCCTGATACAAGAGGTATAGTGTTCAGTGCAACTGGTTTTGCAGTCTGCCCTCTCAAATACCATAAGTGATGAAAATGTTGTCTATGGAAGTTCTCAGTCATACAGATCATAGTTGTCCCAAAGGTGCTTTTTTTCAAGAGGCAACTGGATTTTCTTGTTTTTTCTTTTGAAGATGTTTCTCTTCTCCTCCAAGAAGCTTCTTCAGCTCTGGCTGGATGGTGGGGAAACGGAAGGATTTATATTCCTTGCAGACAGCTGGTCATTTGCATCCTTTTAGAGAGTTGTTGAGGCCACTTGGAGGTTTATCTGTGTCCTCAGGGTCACCTGAGTGGGGCTCCTGGTTCCTGTAGTCTGCAACTTTTCCTCTGAAAATCCATTCCTACTCCCACACCATTCAAAGGGTGTTCTTCCCAAATTGTATAGCTAAAAGTCTGTAGAGGTCATGGTTGTATCAAAGGTGCTTTTTTCAGGAGGCAACTGGACTTTCTTTTTTTTTCTTTTTCTTTGAAGATGTTTTTCTTCTCCTCCAAGAAGCTTATTTAGCTCTGGCTGGATGGTGGGGAATGGAAGGATTTATATTCCTTGCAGACAGCTGGTCATTTGAGGCCACCTCCAAGTGGCCTCAAAGACTCTCTAAAAGGATGCAAATGACCAGCTGCCTGCAAGGAGTATAAATCCTTCCATTCCCCACCATCCAGTCAGAGCTGAAGAAACTTCTTGGATGAGAAGCGAAACATCTTCAAAAAAAAAACCACAAGGAAATCCAGTTGCTTCCTGAAAAAGCACCTTTGGGTTTGTTGATTTCTTCTCTGGTGTTTGAATTAGGCAGGGAATTGATGTAGCTCATTCTCCCCAGATATTTACAGCTCATTCTAGCATGCTTTTAAATACTATTTTATCATGTCCTGTTACTTTCTTATGGTTTAAACTTAAGCCTGTAAGTATTTGTACAGAGCTCTGGACATTTAAACAAGTGGTAATGAAATGGAAATAGGGAAAATTATATACCTAGCTTTTTAAAATTAAAACTCTTAAATGTTTCCCCCTTTGTGGTTGTGAATTCCACCCACATCCTTTCTTGTTTCAACTGTTTTTATGACTGAATGTAGTTTTATAGTCTTCAACCCCCAAAATAAATTTTGCCCATGCAGTTATATACTTTTTCTGGTTAGGAAATAGCATTATCATTATTGTTCTATAATATTCTAGAGGTTCAATCACTTCAGTTTTGTCTACTTTTGGTTGTGCCTCATATTTCTGTTTATACCAACACTTAAGGCAGATTACAATATGACCTTTATTGGATCACCAATAACAACAATAAGATCCTAGACACTAAGTGGGATTTTTTTAAAATTTCAGAGAGGAAGTTTGGTTAAAAAAAATCCCAGTTAATTAAATCTCCATTAATTTAAATTGAATAAAAATCAGAAGATGAACATATTATTCAATGCTTTTATTTATACCTGTATAGCTACCCATCTGTGCAAGTTAAGGCTCCAATAAAAACATCAATTCTTCTCATAACTTAATTTATAATTTAGCATTCTTGCTCCAAAGTATCATTGTTTAAAACTGTATATTAATAATAAATCTTTGAATGCTATATTAATATAAATACTTACAGAAAAGGAGGAAGATACACAAGCAATATCCCAGCTTGAAAATAGGTTAAATTTTGGGTCTGTTATATACAGTGATGTTTTCAACATTGGAATTAATGGGAACATCTGTCAAATATGTTGTTCATGTTTGATATTTTGGACAGATTTATGTTCCTGGGGTACTTGGAAAATATCCCATCAATCTTCTCTTGTCACAGCCAGCAGAAACATTCCTTTCTCTATCATTTCCCCTGTTGTTTCATTTTATACAATTCAACTTGGTGGGCTGAAAAAAAATGCTTTAAAGGATTTCTGATATGAGAAAAGCCACCAAGGAAGTACATTTGGGGGAAAAAGGAAGCTGCAGTACAGAAATATTTCCCCTGAGCAACATCTGTGTAGGATATTCAACATATGTTTATTGCATTTGCCTCGTTCCATTAATGGTTGAATTTGCAGTTTGGAGGCTGATACTATGATAGCCTTGGCTTGGTTTGGCTTTGTATGTTGAATAAACTTAAACAGACCACAGATCTGGTACTCTGTGAACATAGCTTGTGATTGAAATGTGTAAAAGCATAGTTACACCATCATTGCTTAAGACAGCACACGAGTATCTTCAGTCACCAAGTTTAACAAGCTTTGGTAAAGTTATATGTTGCATACAGAGGGAGAATGACGTATAATCTTTATTATCTATATATATAAAAGCGAAATACCACTCAGCTTCATCTCAAAATCTCCAGAACCCTAAAGCCTACAAACTTGACATTTGGCATGTATGTTGCTCTTGGCTTCTAGGGGCTCACTAAGAAAGGATTTTTCGAAATGACCATCAGAGCATTAGTATTTCATATATTATTAACACGCTCTGATGCTAAAGAGTTCTACTCCCCCTCCCCACCTGGAAAGAAATCTGTTCCAAATGCAAAACACAAGCAGAGAGGAGTTTCAGTTTTAGTTTCACGGCACCAAGCATTTTTAGTACAGAACAGTTGAGCTAAGCCATGCCCAGGCTCCTTGCTGTCTCCTTGCTCACACAGCAAATACTCTTTAAGTTTCCAAACAGCCCTCAACTCTCTTACACACTGACAGGACACTAGCTAGATGCATACTGATGGATGCTGATAGGCAGAGGCACAATTTTTCCCCTTACTTTCCTCCCCAAAAACTAAGCCTGATCACATAGTTTTACAGCGAAGTACAGGTATAGAGCTAGTATATATTAATAGTAAAGTTTTTCCCTTTTCCATCGTTTGGATGCAGAAGTTAGTGCCTGCATGACCCAAGTTCTTGGCTTATGATCCCAGCCAATGCAAACATAATGGCAAACTGATAAAATTCTGTTACAATAGCTCATTTGGTATGCATGCTCTTGCTAAACAATCAAAAAAATGAATCAAAAAATTGGATGGGGGGTTTCAGTTGGAGGATCTCTTGATCAGTGTGTCAGTTTAAAACCAGAAGTACACCCCAACACTTATTTTACAAAGATTGTAGCTAAGCTACCGGATTTTCTGTCCCCGAAAATCCTTAATTGGAGAACGTGATTGATGACACCCAGCTTGTGAATGTGCTTAATTGGAGAATCTGATTTATGACACACCCAGGGGAGGAGGGGGGAAACAGGGTCACAGGTGACTGTAAATTACGTATGCCAGAGTTGGCTTCATATAGGTCAATGTTGAACACGTTGGTCCTAATAAATCTTTTGGTTTCTTTTGAAGCTTGGCTCGAGGGCAATCGCCGGAATCCTGACACTGTACGTTTTTCTCCTGAAAACCATTTAGGAAGGACCGGGATCGTGACCGGGATCGTGATGATCGTTCCAAAGACCGGGACAGGGATCGAGACAGAGATCGTGAACGGGAAAGAGATAAGGACAAAGATTTGCGTCCTTCAGCCAACTCGGCTCTCCTCGCCGGAGTTGGGTTGCCCCCTTTGAAACCCACCATATTTCCACAGGGTATCAACCCATTCACAAACCTGCCACACACACCTCGCTATTATGAAATCTTAAAGAAACGCCTACTGCTCCCAGTGTGGGAATACAAGGAAAGATTTACCGACATCCTCATCCGAAATCAGTCCTTTGTGCTGGTTGGTGAGACCGGTTCCGGTAAAACCACGCAGGTGGGTTTTGGTGCAGCCGTTCTTAATTTTTGCAAACCCTCGTGCGGACCCGTATGCGGCGCTCCGCGCTCCGTTTGAACATCTCTGTGGAATTATTCAGCCTGCTATTAGCAATATTTCAGGGTCCTTAAAGTAATCCGTTGTGCACTGACACATCTCAAGACTTAGCCTTTTGAGCAAGATCTCTTAAATGAACCTTTTCGGTTGTTTAATGACTAGAAAATGATGCAATGAGTTTTCGCTATCTCTTCCCTCTTTCCCCCCACTCGCCCTCCAACTCTGGCATTTTGTCTCCATCTTCAGGGTCTCTTCTATTTTCCTAAAAGGTTCAGTGCAATTTGAACTTCTGCTAATCTATAAAGATCTGCTGTCTGGTTTCTTGCAAAAGTTAGACTGGTCATGTAGCAAAATGAATGATAAAGTGGTTCCTCCTCACCCCCCCCCCCCCCCCCGTGACTACTAACTGGCTTAAAAATAAAACCAGAATGCCATTACCCACATTCTTAAATCTAAGAAAATCTTGTATAAAACTGTTGGATATGAGTCCTCGGAGCAGAATTAACGTTGCTGAGATAACATTGCCCTGAAAAATCTCCATACAAGAAATATGGGCGTTCTGGGATTTCCAAAAGCAAGTAAAACACGGTGAATATTGCTCAGAGAGAGATTATCATAGACATGAAATATTGAAGTGCCTTTGCAATAGTACGTGCCTGACTGGTCCCTCCTCATGACATCAGTTTTAGTATTCTCAATCCCGCAGGTGTCAGAGGGATTGCTGACGATAAGTGCCATGTTTGGACCTTTTCTTAAGGGAAGAACTTCAACATACCTCTTTTTTTTTTTTTGCATTGTATGAAAAAAGAACTCTTTGGGAAAGGAAAGATTACAGCACAGTGAGTGGTGCAGTGGCGTAGAGGTGCAGCTCTTGCCTCACAATCAGGAGCCTGTGCATTTAATCCTAAGTAGAGGCAGATATTTATCTCTTTGGGCACTGTGATGACCCAAAGGGCATGGCACAAAGGCAACACAGTCAGATAATTAGGGGGAGTCCCTTTATTAGCTCCAACTTTGCCCCCAGTGTCCTGGCTACCTTCTGGGCTGGAGAAAATCTCTTCCAGGAACACCCTTTGACTACAGAGAATCAAGTCCAAAACGTGGTCAACAAAAACTAACTATAAGTCCAATCAAGGCAAAACGCAGCAATTAGTCCGGCAGGGTAAGAAAAGGAATTCCAGATGTGAAGGCATGGCAATAACTCAGCATGGTTGGGAAGACACCAGGAACGCAGATAATCGCAGTCAACACAAGATAAACTCAAGTTTGTTTCCAGCAGACGCCGCTCTCAGCTTGCATCTCTTTTAAACTCTCATTCCCAGGTGTGGCTAAAGAAGGGAATCAGGGCCCTTTCCTCCCTCATAAGCTATGCAACCCGCATTGCTCCCTTCTCCATTCCTCCCTGCGTGCCCTAGGATGAAGAGGGGGTGGCCCTGGGTTTTCCTCTGAACTCCCTCTCTCTTGCTCTACCTCTCCCCTGCTCTGCCCAGCCGGACTTTGCCCTTCCCCAGACTCCTCCACAGCCAACGGAGCCACACTCCCGCTCCCTGTCAGCTGTTTGTCTTCCTCCTCAGATTCAGACTCCGACAGGGGCATGACAGGCACAATGAGAATATATATTGCTGCGAACGCTGTATTGGCAACAGGAAGGGCATCTGGCCAGGAAATGCTCAGCTCCATTCAGATGCCCCGACTGCACCCCGAGGCAATGGATTACAGGGTCATTAAAAGACAAAAATAAAAAAGATTACAGCGCAATAATACACCCCATTCCAAATGACAACGAACACTTGCATTACCTCTAAGCCTAAAACAGGTTCTTGACTTAACCGGGTTTTTTTAGTGGCCGTTCACACAACGGCACTGAAAAAAAATGACTTATGAACGTTTTTCACACTTAACGACCTTTGCAGCATCCCCGGGGTCCCATGATCAAAACCAGGGGGCTTGGCGAGTGACTCGTATTTATGACGGTGGCGGTGTCCCCCTCTCTGCGACCCTCTTGCAAGCAAAAAATTAACGGGGAGGCCAGATTCATTTCGCATCCAAAGTTCACACCTGCAGTGATTTACTTACCAACTGTGCCAAGGAAGGGCGTAAAATGGGGCAAAGCTCACTTAAGAAGCAACATAAATTTGGGGCTCACTTGTGGTCCTAAGTTAAGGACTACCTATATTTAGCTTTGAATTCCATAATTTGATTGTATTCTCTACGTATGCTATTGGCAAAT